CCCGGAGCAGAAAACACCACAGCTTGACTATTTAAAACATAAAAGGAACAGTTTTATTGTACTTTAAGCTGATTTACGACATCTCGTGGCATGACAAAGCACTTTTTCGCGCTAACAACATGCAACGCCACACCCAGAGCATGTGCTGCGCAGCCCTTTGTTCTCCTCGGAGCACTTAATTCGACGATAAATGCTAGTTTTTTAACCCCAATATAAACACAGATACACAAAAACACAGATATAAACGCTAGCATGACAAAGAAATTTGATTCTAGAAACGAAAAAGACTCAGAAACAATCTGAAACACTTCACGTATATTTACGCTCCCCCCCTTACAGGTTCACAGCTGCATTTTACAGATATAAATTGCAAAACAGACCTAATTTCGTGGCGCCATTCTGTAGTGTCTCTGTTTCTGGTCTCTGGTTCCGTTTCGGCTCGGTTCGGCTCTCTCTTTGTCTGCTCCCGTCTGCTGCTGTCTTTGGGGCTGATCTGGGGCTGCTTCAGCTGGTTCGGCTGTCGGTGGCTTGTTCTCCGGCTGGCTGGCGGTGGCTTCGCTTCTGTAGACTCGTCAGATGTCAATAAACTCTAATCTAACACTGAATGACGAAGAGGCGATACTTCAGCTTCGGACATCGTTTATTTACGAGAAATGAAAAGCGTCTACCCAGCTAAAATGTTACTCTGACTCCCTGCCCTGAGAAGCGTGCGCGTGCTTGACGCTCGCTCTCGCCTTCATGCGCGCTCCGGTCTTAAAGGGCCAGTACACAAATATACGACACTGTCACAGGAGAAATCTATCACAACTCAACTTTTTGCTTTTGATAAATATTTATAAATGAGGCACATTTATAAACTAGACATGGGTTTTTAGGATGTAAAAACAAGTGTGCATTGCCACGTTGCATGGCTTTGCCTGCAGCATTGGACTTGCAGAGTGAAAAGTGACCAAGTTCAAATATGTTTTCTATACCAGCTTGTGCCTGTCATGTCAGCAGGTGTTTGTAATTAAGGTAATTGAGTGACAATATGAAGTTGGAGGAGATTTTTTTGTTAAAGTTGCAGTAGCTGGGATCTGAACCCTGATTTCCCACGTGAAAGTCCATGATATAGACTGTTAGTCCAAAGGAGCTGTGGCGAAGTGTGGTGCCAGGGGTTGGTTTGTATGTATGCAGAAAGAGGCCACATTGCCAATACAATTATTGACACAAAAACGCATGATATTACAACAATAGAGCATTATTAAGACAATATTATAGTAAAACATCAAAACACAATCATATTAGTATTGTAAACACTGAACTATTGAGATTAAATGTAAAAAAAACTATGGTATAGTACCAAGTTGAGTACAGCTGGGGGCAATATTGGACCATTACAAGGCCCCATTGACTCCCATTTTATGAATTTGGAATAAAGTTTAAACATTAATATTTTAAAAACTACAAGTTGTGCAGGTACCAAAAGGCATAGCAATCATTTGGCACAGGAGCTTTACAGATATAAATTACAATGGCAGCTATAGGACAAAGTATGCAGGAGAAGAAGCTTGGCAAAGTTGAGCTGACTTGGATGGGAAACGAATCACAATAGTGTGCATTGCATTGGCTAAACTGAGCCACAGTTGATACAGGAGTTTCATTGAACCAATTTTGAGCAGACAAATGTAATGGTTTTTTTTCCTCAAAACTAGTTCACAGGCCGCTTGGACCTTTTCTTGTTTCGCAAATGTCTGCAGTTTTGTAACAATCTTGATTTAAAATGTCATTAATAAACAAAGGGTTTGTTTTTCAGAAAAATTACTCATGTACTATAATACACGATTATCACAAACCTTATGAATGTGTCCCATACCAAATATTTTCGAACACACTAGAGTAGCTGTTGACTTCTGCCAGGCAGAAGGAGAATAGGAAGACCACAGAGAAGATTCATGGATGTAGAAAAGAAGGACATGGAGATGGTTGGTGTAACAGTAGAGGAGGCAGATGATCCGCTGTGGCGACCCCTGAAGGGAGCAGCTGAAAGAAGAAGAAGACACTAGTTGTTGACTGAAAATATAAATATTAAAGGATGATATAGTTGATCATAAACAGTTTGTGCACTGAAAGAGGACTACCTGAAAGCACAATAATGTCTAATAAGGTTACAAAAACTGTTTTACGTTAAAAATCAAGAAATAACCAAAAAAAATTTAAAATCATCGGTCTATAAACGCAGGAGTTTTTTTTTCTTTCACTTTGCTGCTCTGGAGCATTCATGCATCTATTAACACAATGTCACAGTGAAAATACATCAGCAATAACCAGAGCCGGCTCTTGGCGTGGGCGAACTAGGCGGTTGCCTAGAGCACCATCTGCTGGAGGGGGGGCCGAACTGCAGAAGGGAAAAAAGTAATTATTTKTAATCTCTGTTTGTAACTCTGCTCAGCGCCCCTTTCAATTAGCTTTGTCTTAAAAAAACTATAAAGTATTACAGGAAAAATAAACTACCCATAAACCACCCTCCCAATGCAGCAATCGCCCCCACCCTCTCTCTCACTTGATTGATGTTGCACTGACACATCCTGCTCCGACACTCACGGGCGAGGGGCTAGTAGTGCCTCTCAGGTAGTGGTTTGTGTTGACAAACTCAATAACAACAAGTCTGTGTTTTCTTGTCCCTACATGTCAACCTCTTCGGATGTTTACTTGTATAAAAAGCCTCAAAAAAACGTAAATTTTGCAAAAAATCCATACAACTGGCACACAGGGGGCAAATAAATATAAGTTTACCATAGTACCTTACATTGTCAAACTTGTTTTTAGGGGTTCAAATTGGGGTGGGTGGGACATAGTTCGGGGGGGGGGGGGGGGGGGGCTTCAACTCGCCTAGGGCGCCAAAATGGCTAGAGCCAGCACTGGCAATAACCTCAAAGAAGCAACTGTTGCTGCCCATCAGTCCGAGAAGGTCGGCAACAGTCTAAAATACTTCAGAAAGGTTATTCACAAGAGGAAAACATTTAAGAAACTTATGAACCTCCCAGGAGTAGAAAAACTTCAAAGAAAAAATAAAAAAACTTCAGAAAATCAAAAGATCGTACTAGAGTGTTTTTCTGTTGTCCCTCCTTCACATGAAGGAGATGATGGCCAACAACGCTCTTACATAGTCGCCCCTTAGATCCCGTGGTAAGATGGTTATCATATACTGTATTGACCCCTGGKGGGGGGGGGGGGGGGGRGGTCTCTGCATTTAACCCATCACACATGTGAACACGTGCAACCTGGAGTTGAACCAGCTACCTTCTTTTTTTAATTGAAATTGATTTTTTTGTTTGGTTGAAAAAAACATTTTGTTTGGTTGAAATTATTTTTTTTAATTGAAACTGCTTTTTAGTTTGGTTAAAATTATTATATATTTTTGGTTGAAAACATTATTTTTTTGATTGAATTTAGTTTTAGTTTGGTTTAAAAAAATATTTTTGATTGAAATTATTATTATTTTGACCGAAGATGCTTTTTGTTTGATTGCATAATAAAAACACAAATTTACCTCCATACAAGGGTCCAGTCAAAGTCTGAGCAGAATCTGCAAACATCAATCAACTGAATTGACGGTGAAAATGTAAGAGACTGAAAGTCCTACAAAAAAAAATAACTACTAAGAATTACAGATGCTAAATGTGGCTCACATACAGTAGAATCTAGTTGAATTTTAGGGGGAGGTGCTTTATGCAAAATCGACTTTTTTGAGCTTTGTATCGTGTTCTAATGTTACTCCCTCATCACAACCATCCCCAGACTGTTGCTTTGACTCATTCATGCATGCTTGATAAATCCTTGAAACCTCCTGTTTAGCAGGTGGAGCTGCCTAAAGGCTTGCTGGTACAAAGCACCGCCTACAAAGCTCCTCCCTGGAGCTCAGTCCCCAGCCGAGCTCCCGCTCCTGAGTACCCCTCCAACAAAGCATCGTTGTGGCGTTGGGTGATAATGGAAAAAAAATTAATCACGATTAATTGGGGGTATTTAGCCAAAAACGATTAATTTGACGATTAAAGGCACAGTGTGTAGGATTTGTTGTTTTCAGCAACATCTAGTGGTTGAGTGGTTGAATCATCCTCCCTGGTCCTCCCCCCATCCCCACCCCCCGCTTCTAAACACTACGGTGTCTCTCAGGTGTCAAAAATCTTTGATAATTCCAACCGCCATGTCTACCAGCAGCTTCAGGGCTAGTGATGTTTCAAGTGGTAAGATTATGAGCTTTAATAAGTAAAATTATCCCAGCTACAATGACAGACAACAAATTTTACATTTATAGTATTACAACTAAAACCGTTTGTGATGCCACCACCGCAGTTTGTCCTTCATGAGCCTTCGTAGACAAGATGGCGGCTGCCTGTAGTGGCGACCCGCGACCGTGGAGATATAAACAGCTTTTTATAAGGTAAAAATAATAAAACAAGGTCTTTGTCTGCAATGATTAGACATGTTTTTTATTATTGTCATTAGTGATTATCTCAATTTCAGCTAAAAGAATTGACAAAATCCTTCACACTGTGCCTTTTAATCCGCTGGAGTCCATTATGTCCTGGTCACATGACCAATTTAGTGGTAAAGATTTGCTTTTGATAAAAATCTGTTCCGAATAGTGTCAAAATTACAAACTTCAAGCTATACATCAAATTTTAAATTGTGTTGATAGATGAATAAATTACAGAACTTTTTTTTAAAATGTTCGTCATATTTGAAGCGGAGAGGAGCAGCGAGCGGACTAATCACATTAATCGTCAAATGCTGAAAACTAATCGATTAATGTTTTTCTGACGATTAATTGCACACGATATGATTATGCCCAACCCTACACTGTTGTGAAGACGTGCTGAAGTGGGAGTGTCTGAAATGGTAGGACATTCTTAAAGAGACAGAGGCCAATTTCAAGGCAATGATCCAAAGTCAAATTTATTTTTGGTATCAGCATTTTCATAACTGAAGGTAACATAGTTACTTGATTGTGTCTTGAACTGTGTGTCTGGAAAATACATAATAACCCCCCATAACATCATTTTTATTATGCCCCAGTATGTTAAATCCTAGAAGTGAACTTTCTTTTTCTCCATTGTTGAACATCTTTGAGCCTTTAACTCTGCTCAAATTTTTCATCCGGTTAATTAAGGAACTTAGAAAAGGATATTTTACCATTGTAAAACCTGTAAAACTTTTTTTTATAATAAGTTAGATGTTGTTCTGCTGCATCCATTTGAAGGCTTTAAATCCTCCGTGTCTTCATGAATCTAAGTGTTCTGATAAATGTCCTGCTGTCCTTCATAAATGTCCACGGTTTGTTCAGAAATGGACCCATCTAAGTTTACATAGTCATGTTCATCGTCGCTGCTTTCCTCTTCATCGCAGTCTTCCTCTCGTTGTTTCTTAGCAGCAACAGCAGCCTTTGTGGCCTTCACATTATCGTCTTCATCCTGTAGGTTCTCGTAATCATTGTCATCGTCATCTTCTGGTTTCTCGTAATCACTGTCCTCTTTATCCTCTAGGTTCTCATAATCATTTCCATCTTCATCCTCTTCACTGGCGACAGGGTTTAACTTTCTGTTGCTGTCCCCTGGGTCAACGTTTATGTAGTCCTGTTCCTCCTCTTCATCATCATTATAATTGTTTCTCACAGCGGCCGCTGTGAGAAAAAAAAATTATAAAGTCAGACTGAAACTCTGTTCTCACAGTTTTATCAATGTAAAGATGTGCATTCAGTGTGTTGTGTTCCCAGTGAGAACGAACTTTGAGTTAGGGTTACGCTTTCTGGGCGGCGGTCTCGTCGTCTTCGCCTGCAGACCAGGACGACAATCAGAACCAGCACCAGAAGCAGCAGCGTGGCCCCAGGGACCACCGAGTAGAGCAGCAGTTTCAACAAGGGGTCTGAAAGTAAAACAACTGAACATGTTTTTAATAAACCCAAACCATGAACAAAACTGCTATAATCAATGTACAGTTTTAAACGTTTAAATCTACTGTTTGGTCTTCCTTTTTAATTTTTTTTTTTCAAAATTTTTATAATCTCATAAAAAAATAGTTACAAATCTGAATAATAATGTCTCACATGCAGAACACAGGTGTAGGGATTTGTGTGTTCATGTTTCCGTTGTGTTTGTGTTTTTCCTTCTTCTCTGTTCCTCCTGCACCTGTTTGTCTCCTCAAAGGTGTTTGTCATGTCAGTTCGTTTGTGTGTCTGTTGTGTAATGTGTGGTGCCGTTTGTAAAGTTACACAGTCAAAAATTACCACCAATGTTTTTGTTTTATTTAGTCGTTTATAAGAAAAAAATAACAGATTTATTTTTCAAAGTCAGTATTTCACCATATGATTCATAAATTTATAAATGGCATAGTTAAATATTTAATTAAC